ATAAAGATGGGGATTGATGATTTAATTAATTGGAAGATATAGAAAACCTTAAATCACCTTAAGCATAAGTTAAAGTGTAGGTTTCCTAGAACTTTAAGTGCACACCTTAGGTGAGAGTCTATCCACCTAGTCCTCGGTTTAGACTTCCTAGACTTTAGAAGCACACCCTAAATGAGAGTCTATCCACTTAGTCCTCAGTGTAGACCTCTTAGATTTTAGGTGTACACCCTAGGTGAGAGCCCATCCACCTAATCCTAAATGTAGATTTTTAAATGTAGATTTCTTAGAATTTTAGGTGCACACCCTAGGTGAGAGCCCATCTGCCTAATTCTCAGCATAGACTTCCTAGATTTTAGGAGTACACCCTAGGTGAGAGTTCATCCACCTAATCCTCAGTGTAGGTTTCCTAGTCTTTAGGAGCACACCTTAGGTGAGAGCCCATCTACCTAATCTCTGCAGTGTAACCTTCCAAGGTTTTAGGAACATACCTTATGTAAGAGTCTATTCACCTAATCCTTGAATGCACAGTAAAACTAAACACTTGACCCTGATTCACAACCTGATCAAGACAATAGACACTAGGATGCACCGAGACGTAGTTCATGCTTCCTTAATTAAATCAACAGTGAAATTCCCTCAATGACTTAACCTACAATAAAAACAATTGGAGAAATTTGTTAATGCCATATATGGATCATCCGATTAGGATAAGTCTAGGGTCTAAGTGGAGAGGGCGATGACGATATTGCTTATGTGTGCTTAAACGAGGGATGTGAAGTGAGATTATTAGAATAATATCTCCTACCTCAAGGATCTTCAATAAGGGAGAGAGAAAGATTCATGATACTATTCGCCGATTCTTGGTGAGATCGGCCCCCGATACTCTTAGGTTGTCAGTAGTTCTAGCACGATTAGAGTGACTAGTCTGTGGGATGTACAACTTTACAAAATTTTTACAAAAATAAAATAAAAATTTCTTTTGCATGATTAAAAGAACTCTGCATAAAAAAAAGACTTGAATAATAACTTTTGCATGAAAATCTTTCTATGAAAATTTATAAAGGTCCACGACTAGTCACTTGTATTGAGGTTAAGAACTGCCTTCTGTAGATTGTTGGGTCGGTAACTCCTGTTCAAGGTCGGGAAGCACACAACCCAGCTTTGAGCCCCTACTTTCACCAAGGTCTTATACCCAGTCCTGATCTTTCATATGTGGCTAAGGGTTTCGTTTGCTTGTGATTTATACGACTCGTTTTTTCTGACTTTTGTGCTGAGTTTTCTCGTCGTGTTTAGTTTTTTTGCAAGCTTATTTAAATCTCCTGCAAATCATGCTATGCTCGCAACATTAATAACACAACAGTAGCAGATGCCCATGTACGCTTTTACAGTTTATCTACAGCATTTTACTTTACTGCATTTTACCTTTTAAGCACATTTTATTTACTTGCGAGTTGCTTATTCTGCATGCAAAACCAAAACTGAAACAAAACAAAACCAAACATTGACACAAAAACTGAGAAGCACAAATCACCAATCCCAAACACTTAAACCCTGGAGCCGTCGCGACGACAAGAGCTTGGAGCCAACTTCGTGGGTAGCATGACGAGGAGTTTGGAACAAGCAATAAGAGGATCTTCTTCAACATTATTTCTTCCTAGCATAATGACAACCCATAGGATTTCGAGGTAGCTCGCTGAGGTATCTCGCCTAGCGCGACGTAAATCCTCACTCTCCCTTTTTAGGATCCTGTACAAACATGTTGCGCGACATGAGTCCTAACTCGCTTTAGGTTCCGAGGTTGTTGTGTGGTACGACGTAAACCCTCCTTTCTTTCGGGGCTATTTGCATAATCGAGTATTATGCAAATGTAAGTCCCAAATAATAAAGTTGGCAGGATTGAACATTCAAATAACATCTTCTTTAAAAATGCAGCCACACAGTAGGATAGTCCGGGATGTCACTGAGGTTTCTCCTCAGGATCTATGACATCCTCTACTTGTTCCATCCTTTGGACTCCTAAAATAATTGTTCATATTTGAGCCACTCTCATTTGACTTTCCACGTCCTACCGTGAAAACCTGAACTTTGAATTCTTGAAGACTAGAACCACTGATCATTATCGAGAGTTTTCTCAAGTGACTCCCGTCACTTGGGATGTAATTAACTATAGGGGTTTGCCTCTATAGGGAACTTGGAACCCAGGTAAAATAAACTCTATTTAATCTTTGTATTAGATAGGGGAACTTGTCGGTCATACATAAAAAAGTTCGCAGATCAAATGAATGTCACAAATCTCTTAGTTTGTAAGATTGGGTTTATCGCCGAGGTCTACACTTATCTTTCGGGAGGGTGTAGTATTTGCGGTATCAGACACGATTATGCAAACTATTGGACGAATGAGATCCATTTGGTCTCATTTTTCAAAAATTAAAACATACTACTTTCAAAACCCAAACTATATATCTTTTATATTAAATTAAATTTCAAAAATTATTTTCATATACCATATTTTTCAAATAAATCAATCCATCGAAAAAGTTGACCGACAAGTGTGTCCCATTGAATGGAGGGCCTTTTGCTGCAGGCCAACCAGCTTTTGATTCAAAGCAGACATTTTTCTCACAAACACTTTCTTTCTCTTATGCTGATCCTTTGGATGAGCTGGCATTGGTGTCTCCAGAGCAGCCACTTCACTTGAGAGTTTCCTCTCTGGGACATCCTCTTTGCTTGGAAGACCACCACCACCCTCCTGGAAAGAGAGCCTGGAGGAAGTGCTTCCCAGGTCAATAACTAGCAGCGAGAGAGGCACATATCTGAGTGGCTTTAGGTTCCACACAAAGATTGCACCGCGCATGAAGTATCCTCACACAGGTAGTTAGACTCAGCTTAATTAATCACCCTATCATCCTCAGGCCCCATCTCCATCACCTAAGCACGAACTATGCTGAAAAAAATAGAAGTCAACACGAGTTTATCACACAACATAAGCCCGAGTCCAAGCTAAAGAGGGTCCTTAGAAAAAGCTAGTTTTTTAGAAAGCGAGTTTTGGAAATGCGATAAAACTTAACACTCATCAATCCATAGTAGTTCCAACATCAACATGAGATTCTTCGAGCTCTTTACTAATAACGTAATAAACTTGAGGTCGAATACATTACCTTGGTTGAACTTGAGTAGGAGCTGAAGCAATAGACTCTATCCTCCATTGCCAACCGATTATCCTGAGAAAGTGCTCTATCTGGTTTCTGTTCTTCCAAGGTTTTTTGGCAAAGTGAAGGGCAATATCTAGTTGTTACTAGGCTAATGACACCAATGGTATGTGTTGGAGCAAACAATCGGACGAAAGTTAAAATTTTCTACACTCATTTTCTATTATTAACATTTAACAAATTAAAGAGTCATTATATAAAATAAATTAAATTAATACAATTAAATTTATCTTATTTTTGGTTGTCTGCGACTTCTATAAATATTTTCCTTAATATTGCTCGTCTTTTAATCAATTAATTAAACTGAAAATGTTTGTTTAAAACAATAGTGAGGGAACTATAGTCAGTGAATACTCATATTCTTAAACTCTAACAATATTATGATAAAGAAGATTATATGCATGCTAGTTAAACTTTATTTAAATCAATCTAAAAGTATTTGGAAGTTTGTGATATCTAATATACTTATTAAAGGTGATTGTAAATATTAACTGTTTTACTGTATCGTTTACATATCAATATTTTTTTCATCTATATACAATTATCATAGTAGCACCATCTAAACTTATACCAATGAAAATACATCAGTATCATTATTTTCTTTTCTTTTACGTCCACAAGTATCTTAACATTCCTACGTTAGTACCATAAAGAGGTGAACTTCAACATAATCAAACATACAAATAGAAGTTATATATATATATATATATATATATAATTAAATAGTGCATGATAATAAGTAGCTTCAAAAATACTGTATTCATAACAATGTGACAAATAACGAAATAAACATACCAATTAGAATAAAAGTTGTACAAGTACCAATAATTACTAATGCAAAATGGTTTGAAAAGAAAAAAAAAAAAAAAAAAAAAAAAAACTACCATTGCTTAAAATTATGAGTAGTCACTTCAATCACTGATGATTCTCTTGCTAATCGCTCTTTCAACTTATTCTCAATGAAAACCTATAGTCAAATGCATAAATAATTATTATTAATTTATTATATGTTATTCTTATCAATAGAAGACAAATTGCCTTTAATGTATCATTTAATAATTATTATTTTATCTCTAATAAGTAATTATTATCTTCAATTTAAAATATAAATTTAACTATTTCTTTCAAACAAATTAAACTTGATAAAATTTTGACAATAAAGTGTTAATCCTTCGAATTCACTGAGTAAAAATTATCATAACATATTAATTTAACTTTCTAGTTATCTTGTATAATTTATATCTTCTCAATTAGTCTTTAGTATTTATAAAAGTATACATAGATTTATATTATGTAATCATGTATTATTATTATTATTATTTGTAGTTCACATTAAATTCTTGAAATATCTTTTAATACAAAAATACAGTCTAAGGCATCAAATTTCTTCGCAGTTGTCTCTTGCCAAAACAGAAATGTCCTCTTCACTTTTTTATTTCCATTTACCAGTGTGTAAAGGTGTGTCCACGGAGAAAACTTAGGGTGTAAGGTTCTTTGTGGACTATATTGATTTTTCCTTGAAATATTTAGAAATAGCATGTTGCCATTACTTATAGATTTTTTTGATGTGTTGTTGTCACTGGAATTTTGTATCAATACAGCAGACTTCTTCATTGTGTGTGCTTTGGCAATTACACCTTTTAGTAGCTTGCAGGTCTTGCCTTCAATATATGCCTTTTCTGGTTTTCTTTTCTACAGTCGGTTTCTACAATGCAGGGGACCATTTGCTCAAAGGAGGCATCCGTTGGTGGATTCTAGAGTGGTATCTGAAATTAGAAAATGTCTTGAAAATGGCACAGTTTTCCAGGGCGATCTATTGAATTTTAGGAAGGATGGGTCTCCATTGATGAACAGGCTACAGCTAACACCAATTTATGAGGATAATGAAACCACTCATTTTCTTGGCATTCAAGTTTTCACTGAAGCCAATGTTGATTTAGGTCCTTTGCCAGGCATCTTAAAGAAAGAAAGTATGAGACCCATCAGTCGTTCCACACACGAGCATTCAATTTATCGTCCCATCGCAGCTGTGCACGGAAACATCTGTCGTGAATTTTATGGTATGTTTCAGCTTAGTGATGAGGTCTTGTGTCAGAAGATCCTTTCACGGTTGTCCCCCAGAGACATTGCTTCTGTTGGTTCTGTGTGCAAAAGGCTCTACTTCCTTTCAAAGGATGAGGATCTTTGGAGAATGGTTTGCCAGAATGCATGGGGAAGTGAAACAACTCGTGCTTTAGAAACTGTGCCTGGAGCAAAAAGATTAGGCTGGGGAAGGCTTGCGAGGGAACTAACCACGCTTGAAGCTGTAGCATGGAGAAGATTAACGGTTGGTGGTGCAGTGGAGCCATCTCGATGCAACTTTAGCGCATGTGCTGTGGGAAATCGTGTGGTTCTTTTTGGCGGGGAAGGAGTGAACATGCAACCAATGAACGACACCTTTGTGTTAGATCTGAACTCCAGCAATCCAGAGTGGAGGCATGTCAAAGTAAGCTCACCTCCACCTGGACGATGGGGCCATACTCTGTCTTGCCTAAATGGGTCGTGGCTGGTAGTTTTTGGTGGCTGTGGAAGACAAGGCCTGCTCAACGATGTCTTCATCTTAGACTTGGATGCAAAGCATCCCGCATGGAGGGAGATCCCTGGACTTGCTCCTCCGCTCCCAAGGTCATGGCACAGCTCATGCACTCTGGATGGAACAAAGCTGGTTGTTTCTGGCGGGTGTGCAGACTCAGGCGTGCTTCTCAGCGATACATTTTTATTAGACCTCATGATGGAGAAACCTGTATGGAGAGAAATACCTGTCTCATGGTCACCTCCTTCCAGGCTAGGCCACTCCCTTTCTGTATATGATGGTGGCAAGATATTGATGTTTGGTGGTCTCGCTAAGAGTGGGCCACTACGGCTGCGGTCTAGTGATGTCTTCACTATGGATCTAAGCGAAGACGAACCACGGTGGAGGTATATAACTGGAAGTGGAATGCCGGGTGCTGGTAATCCTGCTGGGGTTGGTCCGCCGCCTCGGCTTGATCATGTTGCGGTGAGCTTGCCTGGTGGAAGAATTCTGATCTTTGGCGGCTCAGTGGCTGGCCTGCATTCTGCTTCCCAATTATATCTCCTGGACCCGACGGAGGAGAAACCAACTTGGAGGATACTGAATGTGCCTGGTCGACCTCCTCGATTTGCTTGGGGACATAGTACCTGTGTTGTAGGAGGAACAAGAGCTATAGTGCTTGGCGGTCAAACAGGAGAGGAATGGATGCTAAGCGAGTTACATGAACTTACTCTGGCAAATTCTTACTCCTGAAATGATTCAGCTGACCTGTATATTCTTACTACAGAAACAACGACCTTCGGTTTTCGTGGCACGGAATGTTGGGTTGATTGGACGAATGTTGGACCTGATCAAAACAGCTGAAAAATGTGTGGCCAAGGTATATGGGTTTGAGTCCTTGTTGTAAGATTCACTTTGTTCATGATCTGCTTGTTTATTTGTTGCCTTTTTTACGTTTCTAGCAGCATATAACAACTGTTGCTTCTAATGTACGGGGCTCTGAAAGCTTGATTTTTTTTTTTGTTGTTTTTTTTTTTCTTTTGAAGTTGAAGAACTGATGCTATGTTGTTTTTTTTTCTTTTGAAGTTGAAGAACTGATGCTATCCATCCATCTATTATATAAACTTTTTCAAGCAAATTGCTAGTTGAAGCACTGATTGTATTACCATTGCAGAAATTGGTAAACGTCACACTATTTCTGAAGCATTTTTTTTTAATGCATCGTGTGTGACAGTGTAGTTTCTTACTGTTTCATTTCTACCTGTTATTTGTGATCTTCTTTTTGAAGGATCATAAAGTGAAAGCCTGGATGCGCCTGAGGCCTGCCAGCGCAGATTCAGATTCTTTCTATTTGTTTAATTTTTTTAAGGGTTGTGTTAGGCACTCTGACAGTCGCGATAAACGTTATAAAAAAAATCATGACATGAATTCATTAAATACCCTAAAAGCGATGTATTATATGACATGAATATAGTTAAATGTGTGACATGAATATAGTTAAATGTGTGTAAGACCCGCTACACCAATACCTAAATGTATTGTCAAACAAGCAAAAGTTCTCACATTTACTGACAGATGCAGGTAAAGAAGTTAGCATGTGAAATTAATATTATAATAGAATTTTGGAATATACTTACTCTCACAACTAAATTAATAGAATTGATTGATATTATAGTTTTTAGGAAAATAAATATCGTATGTATTCAAATACGTAAATGTGCTGGAGAAAATACCAAGGAGATTGATAGGTTAAGATTCAAATTTTGGTATTCAGGTAGGAGTTGAGCTAGAAATAGTGTATGTGGCATTATAGATAAGAGTTTAAAAATAAGGTTGTAAGAATTAATAGAATTGGAGATCAAATTACGACCTTAAAGATTGTTGTTGATTGTAAGATTTTTAATGTTATAAGTGCTTTTGTTTCTCAAGTAGGTTTAGATATATGTTCAAAAAGAAAAACTTTGAAATGACTTGAGAAGAATTAATGTAAATGATTATCTATTGAAGAAAAAAATTTTATTGGAGGAGATTTAAATGGACATTTTAGTAGAGTGAATGAAGATTTTAGAAATGTTCATGATGGCTATGGTTTTGGAGTGATTAATGAAGAAAGTATAACCATATTAGAATTTGCTTTAGCGTATGATATTTTCATTACTAATACTTTATTTAAGAAAAGAAATGTGCATATTATTACTTATATGAATGGACCTAATAAAATACAAATTGATTATTTTCTCATGAGAAAAAAAAAATTATCTGGAATATAATTATTGTAAGGTCTTTCCAAGTGAAAATTTAAGTATGCAAAATCAATTATTATTTCTCGATATTAAGATGAAAAATTATTAAATAAATAATATAAAAAACATTATAATAGAATTAGATAAAGGCACCTAAAAAACAATTAAACTTTTTTTTATGAGTAAACTTCAAGCTTACAAGATTTAGGATATGAACGAAGAAGGAAATTCTATGAGGGATAAAGTAACAAGTACTATTAAATAAATAACAAAAGATGTAGTTGGAAAATCAAAAATAAAAACTTTTATAAATAAACACGGTTGGTTGTAGAATAATAATGTGTAAGAAAAGATAAAATATAATTAGTGTTATAAAATTGATTTAAATGTAAAAACTTAGAAAACTGGGAAAATCATAAGGTAGCTCGTAGGGAGTCTAAAAGAGTAATTTGACGCTAAAAATTTTACTTTTAGTGATTTTTATAATTGATTATATACTAAAGAGGACAAAAAATATATGTAGAAACTAGCCAAATAAGGAGAAAAAAAGTAAAGATTCAAGTAGAGTGTATTAAAGATGAAAATAAAAAAAATGCTTTTCTTAGAGGAAGATATTCAACATAGGTATGTGAGATATTTTGATAAACTTTTAATGAAGTTTCTTAAAATATGATTGATCTTAGTGATCTTAATATCGTTAATAATAATAAAATTTTTTATTTTTATCGTCGCACTAGTAAAAAAGAAGTTTAGGAGGCTTTAAAGAGAACCAAGGGTGCAAAGTCTTTAAGACCAGATGATATTTCAATTGAAATGTAAAAGTATTTAGGTGATTAGAGAATTTCTTTGCTTACTAAACTTCTTATTATTATTTAAAAAACTAAAGAGATGCTTGAGGAGTGGCGAAAGAGTATTTTGGTCCCCATTTTTTATAATAAAGAAGGCGTGCATGAGTGCAAATTATAGAGGAATTAAGTTGACGTGTCGTTCTTTAAAATTGAGGAAGAAGATAATTGAACATAGGTTAAGACTTGATTCAAAGATTTCTCATAATCAATTTGGATTTTTGCCAGGCATGTCTAATATGGAAGCTATATATTTATTGAGATATTTGATGGAGAAGTACAGAGAATAAGGAGGATATATATATGATTTTTGTTGATTTAGAAAAAAGCTTACATTATGGTTCCAAGAGAAGTTCTTTAGAGAGCTCTAGAGAATAAAGATGCTGATATGACTTATATTCAAGTCATTAAAAATATGTATACTCGAACTATTACTTGTGTTCGAACACGAGGATTGATATAGTATTTTCCCATTTCAGTTGGATTATATCAGAGATTCGGCTTTAAAACCATATCTTTTTTGCTTTAGTTATGGATGCTTTTACTGAATATATATAGGAGGATGTATCTTGGTGTATGCTTCCTTCTTGTGGATAAGACTAGAGAAATAATTCAAGAAAAAAACTTAAATTATGGAGGTCTACATTGGAGTTTAAAGACCTTCATTTGAGTAGATCTAAAACTGAATAAATGGAATGTACTTTTTGTAATAGTAGCTCTAGTGGCAGAGTTGTAACTATGAGTGATCTAATCATTAAAAGGTGTGAATTTTTTTGATATCTCAGATCTGTCGTTCAAAGTGATGGTGATATAGATTGAGATGTTATTTCAAAATTCAAGTTTTGAAGCGGAGGAATGCATTAGGCCTGTTGTGTGATAGAAAAGTACTACATAGATTGAAAGGAAAATTTTATAAGATGGTGGTGAGACCTTCAATGCTCTATGGCACAAAATGTTGGACTTTAACAGAGAAGCATATACCAAAGTTAAGTATTGTTGAGATGAGAATGCTTAGGTGGATTAGTGGCTTAATACTTAGAGACAAAATATGAAATAAATATATTCGTGATAGGGTTCATGTAGCTCTAGCGGCGGAAAATATTAGAGAATGTTGTCTTAGCTGATTGGTCACATTAAACGTCGACCATTTGATGATTCATTTAGGAGAGATGTTTTAGATTCAATTTATGTTTAAGTCAGAGGTAGATCTAAAAAGTCTTGGACATATTGTCTAAAAAACGATCTTAACCTATTAGAATTAAATAAAACTATTACACTGAATAAGACGCTATAGAGAAAATCTTACAATTAATAACATTAATAGTATTTGTACAATTTTATTAAATGAATCATAATATTATCAACTTGTCAAAATGTGACTGAGAGAAAGCAAAACATAAAAAGCGAAGTGTCAAAATAATCTGACTATTTTTATGGGTTATTTTAAGTCTATAAAAGTGCCACTATAGTCTTCGTACTCCTTTAATACGGGCTGAATTAATGCATAAAGACGATTATTTTAGCCCTCATTAGAGACCATTTTTGAGTTATTAAGGTACTAAATTGGCACTTTTTTAGATTATAAGATTAAAATAACCCCAGACAAACTGTGAGAGGATCATTTAATATTTTTTTCAGAATATAAAATATTGTTTAAGAAAAAAGAAAAAGTCATAGTGCTTGACTACAAGACAATAAAACTAACTTTAATGTAGCACTCCTCTCAAATTAAGAATCCATGAAGGCAGGAAACAAAAGAATACTTGAAAGCTTACAGTTTGAAAATGGTGAATTTAAGTAGAACATAATGATGTTTTTTGGGGCAATGTGATACATAGAACATCCCAAAAAAAAAAAAAAACAGAATAAAGTAAATGTGTTGTGTTGATTTAATACATCCATATCACATAAAATTCTTATGTATATACTTATCTAATATTTAAAAATTTATATTTACATTTATAGCTTTTTTGGTAATATAAATTTTTGTATGAAAAGATGTATTTCCCTTTTATATATTAAAATTTTATTAATAGTGGTCAAGTTAGGAATTTAGGTGTTCTATATATATATATATATGGTCTGTATGTAACTGCCCCCTTTCAATAGTTCACAGGAGCCTTCAGAAGTCAGAACCTCTCCCAGCAAATTCTTCACAATAGGCCCTAAGCTTCTCTGATGGTTTGAAGGAGTGAACACAAAATAAAATACAATAATGAGGATATGAATCAAATAACAATTTATTTTTTTAAGGGAAAAATAACCATTTAATTCGGTTCCATGGGCTAAATTTTGAATAAACCAGCCAAAGTTAGTTGGGTTGATGTGTCAGTGGGTCGGTGGGGAACCCATAGGAAGGCTGGACGACCCGCCGAATTCATAGAAGAAATCACCAACATGAAAACAAACGGAATCATTGAATTTCGTAGAGAAACAAAATGAACCACTTATCTTCTCGGAGTTGAGATAGAAACTTTTTGTATAAGAGTCCTCGAGAACATTTTTCTCTTCTGAATTGAATGTAGGGGGCCAAAGGAATGTAGTTTACATAAATCATGCAGTTGTAATTGCATGATCAACAGGCAATAAGTATAGTTAGAATCATCATATGATTTCCATAACAATTAGTTTTATTTAAAAACCTTACTTAAAATCATATATTTACGAATGCATAATATACTTCTATTCTGTTTTACAGTTCTATCTCCTTCGGGATATGCAAATATAATCTCATAAGAATGAATTGTGGAACGAAAAAGAAGATGTTGTGCATGATTTTTAAGATTTAAATAGCGAAGACGAGTCTAAGGACATACTCGACAATCATGAACATGGAAATTCTTAGGAAAGCAATTAGAATAATTGGGAGGATGTAAAAAGATTGAACTTGAGGCAACAAAACTGTATGCCACATGGTAAAAGCAAATTTAAGGAAAAAAATAATTTTAAGAAAAATTCCAGTTAATTTAA